TCCCCCCAGTTTAGTATCATCAGCAAACTTGCTGAGGGTGCACTCTGTCCCTTCCTCCAGGTCATTGATGAATACGTTGAACAAGACTGGGCCCAGGACTGACCCCTGGGGGACACCACTAGCCACAGGCCTCCAAATAGATTCTGCGCCACTGACCACAACCCTCTGAGCTCGGCCATCCAGCCAGTTCTCAATCTATTTCCCTGTCCACTCCTCCACCCCGCACTTCTGGAGCTTGCCTATGAGGATGTGATGGGAGACAGTGTCAAAGGCTTGCTGAAGTCCAGGTAGACAACATCCACTGCTCTGCCCTCATCTACCCAGCCAGTCATTCCGTCATAGAAGGCTATCAGATTGGTCAAGCCTGATTTCTCTGTGATGAATCCATGCTGACTCTTCTTAATCACCTTCTTATCCTCAACATGCTTTAAAATGGTATCCCGAATCAGCTGCTCCATCACCTTTCCAGGGCTGGAGGTGAGGCTGACAGGCCTGTAGTTTCCTGGCTCCTCCTTCTTGCCCTTTTGGAAGACTGGGGTGACGTTGGCTTTCTTCCAGTCCTCAGGCACCTCTCCTGATCTCCAGGACCCTTCCAAGATGATGGAGAGTGGCCTAGCGATAACATCTGCCAGCTCCCTCAGCACTCCTGGGTGCATCCCATCGGGGCCCATGGATTTATGGATGTCAAGTTTGGACAAATGATCTCTAACTCTCCTCCACCAAGGGAGAGTCTTCCTTTCTCCAGCCTTGCTCTCTTGTCTCCAAGGTCTGGAATTCCTGAGGACTAGCCTTAGCAGTGAAGACTGAAGCAAAGAAGGCATTCAGCAACTCTGCCTTCTCTGTATCCTTTGTCACCAGGGCACCCGCCCCATTCAGCAGCAGGCCCATGTTTTCCCTAGTCTTTCTTTTGTTACTGATATATTTTAAGAAGTCCTTTTTGCTATCCTTGATATCCCTTGCTAGATTAAACCACAAATAGGCCTTAAATGAGAGTATGTGACAAGTATCTGTGTCTTCCTTTTAGCCACAATACCAATCTTATTTGTTAGCAATTGAAACTGTTCAGATTCTGAAAATAAGGCTGCTTCTATACCCTTTTGATGCTAACATGTGGATTGGAGTCTGTCTTTAGAATCAACATATTAAGATAGAAGTAACACTTTAGACTTCAGTGAAACTTACTTTTTAAGTAAAAGTAAGGATATTTAAAGAAAAATGTTCAATATTCTTATTAAATAATCTGCATACCATTATTTTATGGTAGTTGAAGGAGTATGTTCTATAGCAAGCTGTGTTGGAAAGGAGCTGGCTCCGCATGTGAAGAAGCATGGCAGCAAATTAGTTCCAGAATCTCTTAAGAAAGACAAAGATGGCAAATCCACTTTTGATGGTGCTCTGGTGGTTGCAGCAAGTGGAGTTCAAGGTAATAAAAATTCCTTATGACTTTTTTTAATTGCATAAGCTATTTTTCAGTGCTATGAACTCAAATAAGCTGTTCATTTTGCAGGGTTTTCAACAGTATGGCAAGGTTTAGAAAGTGCAGCCAAGTGCATTGCTAAAAGTGTTTCAGCAGAGACTGTAAAAACTGTTAAATACAAGTAAGTTTTGTTTTTATTAGTTTCATCTTCTACAACATATTGTCACTGTATATGAATACTGTCAAACAAAGCTCATGGAAGCGCAAGAAAGTTAACTTAAAATATCTACATTGCTCTAGTTACGCAGCACATGACATGCTGTTAAGCGTACCATAATGAGCATGCCCTTTATGTAAAGTGCAAAATGAATCAATGCTTCTGAAGTTTTTCTAGCTCTCTTCTAGAAGTATTAAAGCTTCAGGCAGTGTTGACAAATACTGTTCAGATTTATATCTTTGTATTACAATATAATAATGTCATTATGAAAAAAAATAGTTTGAAACCTCTCAACTGTGATCCTTTATTTATGTAAACTTAACTAAATTTTAAGAAAAATGCAGAAATGACTTCAACTAGAAGCAGGTCATACCAAAGTGAGGTTGTACAAAAAGGAATTTGTGTAAGGAAATCTAAAGCATAAATAACAATAATAGGATGAAATGAGAAGAGGCACTAGTCACAACTTCAAAAATGCAGATGTTCCTAGAAAAAGGTAGTAGAGGAAGAGGAGCATGTTTAGGAGCATGTTACTAAGACAGTGAATGAAAAGAGCGAAGTTGATGAGCGTGTATAACAAGAAATACTAAGGAGAATTAAGGGAAAATTGTGAAACAACTGCAAAACGTATGGAATACACCCCTCAAAAAAGTGCAGTAGGAATAATGAAATGTGAAAAGCAAGCAAAAACATGTAGGTTAAATGGAGTTGGTGATAAGTGTAGCAGAAGAAATTTAAAAAAGGGGTGCTGAAAGTGTATACAGACCATTAGTAGCAGGAAACAAGATGACAGGGTAAACACAGAATAAGGAAATTAGTGGTTTGACATCCAGGGTTCTGTTCTAATGCAGGTGGGGAAACTACAGATAGGAGGTAAGATAGCAAGCTGCCAGTCAATGTTGCTTTACTGCTGACATGTTTGTTTTTGATAGGGCTGCCAGGAGGCATTGTACTGGTACTCTTTTCACAGTAATTCATACTAATATTTTTGTTTTAGATATAAAAACAGGAAATATGGAGATCAGCAATCAACAGCCCCTAAGAGTGAAAACAAATAAGTAAATAAATGCTGCAGTTAACTACAATACAATTTAGAATATTTGATAACTGAGGATTTCTTCCATCTTTTGGTGGAAGAGCAATTCTATACAAATATAAAAATTCTACATAATCTCTCTTTTATAAGCTGGTTTCTGCCTCAGTGACAAAAGACTTCTGCTACTCTTAAGTACTTCAGTGAACCGCTAATGGAAACAGGGCTAAAGGAGCATCATCACAATGTCTTTATGTAAACAAGCTCAGCTAAAACTTAGCTGTTACCTTTCCTGATAGAGTTAAAGACATGTTCATCGTAAGTGTAAGTAAGTCAAAACTGGGGGGAAAATTTAACTGTGGAAGTACTAGTTCTGCAGAAGTATCTTGCTTGTAATTTACTGGGTTTTTACAAGGTTATGAATAACTACAGTATCTGCATCTGCCCAACTTTTCTTTTAAAAAAAAACAAAATTACAAATTATGCAGCTGAGATAGGTAAGGTGAAAAATCAACTATTAAATACTTAAGAAGTTATTCGTTTATCTATATTGGATGAGTCATGATCTTTCTTTAAATGAGGTTGCCTATTGCACTGATATTACAGAAAACTGGCTTATTATTCCTGAGGTGAAAATAACTAATCAAGTTGGCAAATATTTATTGCTATTTTGCTGTGAGACTAATTCTGTGGTCTGCAAATCAGATGTTGATGATTGAAGGCTGTTACTCTGTCAGAGAATTAAAACCAAAACAAAATAAAAAGAAAACTAGTTATTTCCATTCACTTTACTTGTTGGTTCTAGCTGTTACCTGTAATGGGTACTCTACTGATAGTGAGAAATTTTTTTTTTTTTGGATATATTTTGATAGACTTGGGAGCCTTTGATACCCTGTTCTTCTCTTTAGCCTTAGTTTGAGGGCCTCAAAGAATTTCTAGTCAAAAGAAGAGCAGGGCAAAAGTAACTCAGCTAACTGCTGAGATTCTAATGCTATCACAAATATTTCCTTTTGGCCGGTTTGTCTGATTACAGTGTTCTCTAAAGAAATGTTTAGTTGCCTGGAACAGCTAGAGTTACTGCTCTCGCTATACTTCTGTCCTCCTTCAGTATGTTCTCTCTACTACTGAGATATTACCTTTCTTCACAGATGAGAAATTTATTTAATGAGCTTATGTGACTGCTGACTTCCCCTCTAATGAATAAAGAAGCTGGACCCACAAACCAGTGGAGAGATGAGAGGTTATATGTATCAGTAATTTTCAGCGTATCTTCAAGGTCGCTGCTTTGAGGCTTTGCTGTTTAATATGGTTTTGTTATTTTGGTTTGGGTTTTTCTGCTCATCTCCTCCCCTTTGCTATTGTATTGACTCCAGGCTACTTCAGATAGGTCTTCATTGCACTGCAGAACTTGTTACAGGGGCGCTGCAACAAATCATTTAGCTACCTCTAGCGTATAAATATAGCTGTTTCAGCAGTTCTCTGCACCCATTCGACCTGCGTTAATCTGCTTGGGTACTGTAGTACACTAACTTGTGAGACTACATTTGGGACTTTGAACTACAACGTCTGTTGCTGTTACACCAGACATAGTATCACGCTATGCCATGTAGACAAAGGCAAGGGCGATACAGAACAAGTACTAACTGAGCACTATTCTGGCCAGTGGTGGTTACCAGCTGTGAAAGCAATGCCTAAGATGCCTCCAGTCCCTTTTTGTCTAACAATGAAGAAGGCAGTTACGACAGCGTTCACCTTCTTTCCTCCTCAATGCTGCTACCTACGGTACAGACTGAGCAATCTGAGCAGCTGCAAGGGTCTGGGCCTGAAGGAACTAAATGGAAGAATACAGGATATGAGGGGGAACCAACCTTGCACATAAAAATACTTTTTGCAGTTGTATATAGACAAGCCTTCTGATCCTTTCTTCATGACTATGGGGAAGGACTGGCAAGGTTTTTTGAGGAAAAAGGGCAGAAGCATATTGGTATCCTGAAAGAGGAGAAGATTATTTCATAACTTACTGTCTGACAGAGTAGCAGCCCTTACTCAAATGACTCAGTAATTTTTAATTTCACTCTGTAGGCATTTAAGCTGTGCACTTAAGAAAATAAATACCCAGTGCTACTCACAGCTATGCTTCAATTGTTGCTTTTGAAAGAATTCTAGTGAAGAGAAAAATGCTAAGTATATATATATCTACGAACTTGTTTTCTGTCTTAAGGTATGGAGATGATGCTGGCCATGCTACGGACAATGCTATGAATTCTGCAATCAATGTTGGCGTGACAGCATTTAACATTGACAACATTGGTATCAAAGCTGTTGTGAAGAGAACTGCAAAAGAAACTGGCCATGCTGTGTTGGATGAATATAAAGTATTGGATAAGGAGAAAAAAGATAAAAAATGAGAACAATGAAAAGTTTCTGAAAGCCTTACATTAGAGATGAAACTTCCTATTTAGAAGTAACTATATTGCTAAACTGTGATTTAACACAAATCATACTATACTTTTCAAGCAACTATTACTTAATTTAACATGAAAATATAAAGGTTGGGGAGGCATTCTTACAAAGAAAAATGAAAGTCTCCTTGCTCTATCACTCTGTAGTGATGCAGGGATTTTGACAGCTTGAAGGGTGTGAATTTGCAGTTAATAAACTTGCCTCTGTAAGCACTTTTTTCAAAATATAATATGAAACAGAATAATCTAGAAACAGTATTGTGAGTATTTTTGTAATACTATATATTTGTAAAGAAGGTGATACTGAACAAATAGGGTTACTAATTCTGTTGTCAATTTTTTAGTTAGTTTTACAAAAACTAAGCTTTACTAATACTAAACATTATTTAATATGTACTACTTATTTAAGTTTTGTGTTTTATTCTTTTTCTAGATAATTTCTTTTCATAGCTACTAAAAAGCCAGTCTTATCCAAAGTTCATTTTAGTACAAATGAAAGATGAACCTCAGGTAACTAGATAGCCATTCCCTTTAAAACTATTTTTTCCACCCAGCATATGAACAAACCAAAGATACTAAGCGTTTTCTCTAATAAGAGGGTACTTGCATCTCTAGAAAAATGTATTCTGCAGCTGGCACTATAAGTAATATTCAAAGATTATTTGAAATTCAAATTTTTATATGGAGAAGATAAGTGGATTTTTGCATAAATGAAAATATTTTTCTGCAAAAACATTCTAGAGAGGCTGCTAGATATGTCTATGGATTCTGCACTTTTCAGCCAGTCCACAAAGAGTCATAGTATATATGACTTCTAATGGAAGACAGTAGGTATTTGCTTCAAGGTGTAGTTTTGACAGTCAGCACCTTTATTCCAATGAATTCAGTTGCACAAGGTGCATCTTTAAAGAGTATGAAGACAAGCACCTTTAATTGGATGTATATGGAATACAATAGACACTACTCTGTAGCTTGCTCATCCTATTGCAGTGTGAAATAACTCCCATGTAGAAAACTGATAAGAGTCGTCCTTCCTTTTAAGATGCTTTTTCACTGCTGCTTATTTAAAGTTCATTAGTGGGTTTTAAAGCTGCTATACATTCTAGTCTTGATCGGTCCAGCGGCAAATGGAACACTGTCAATTTACAATTTCACTTCATATCAAATAATGGGAGAAAATAACTGTAAGTGATCGTTAGCAAGTGATGCTTGTATATCAGACAGGAAAAAAGAAAAGCAGTAACAAAAATATCTACTGGAAGTGTAACAGCACATTTTGTGGTAGTTATTGCAGGTGTGTACTTTAGTGCGAGAAAAGTAAAACAAAGGGGCTAACCACTTGAAGTGTAACTTGAACTGATTTACAGAAATAAAATTAAGTAAAATTAAAATTGATTAAACTGTGCTTTGCTTTCTTATGACGTCAAGCTACTGTATGGATCAGTGAATGGAAATACTCGGAAGAAACTTCAGAAGTCAACAGAAGAACAAACAGTCTTGGAGTATGTCTACGACAGAAGCCTAATAATCAATTACAGCTCAAAATATTTCACAGTGAAAAGGTCTAGCAAAAGTACATTATAACAGTGTTTTTGCTGTAATCTGTCACTTGCTGGCAAGTGTGACCAGTTTAAGAGTAGTATAGATTTCATACTAGCAAAAGCACTTTTGTTATGAACTGCATTTACATTAGGAATGTGTTTTATTTATATCTTTTTTTCCACCCCCATTTTGATTTTGGCATATAGTCCAATAGGCTTCTCCCCAATTCCTCTTTCATATAAAACGGGCTTCACATAGGGAGTTAGCTCAGCCTTCCCTGTTATACCCTCTACAAGCTGAATTCCCTAAGCCTCATGTTTTAGGTTTATTTTCTATTCCCAGCTTTTTGTTTTTGTTTCTTATTTGGACATTGAACATCTCTCTTGAAGTATGGCAGTCCTAGTAGCAGTTTTACTAATGCTGTTTGCAGAGCAAACTGCTACCTAATTTCGTAGTACACTGCTATTTCCAAATTTATTCAAAGGCTTTTCTGCTACAATATTTAACTTGGACCTTGTATGGAAAAGATTACCTACGATGTCATTTCTATACTACTACTTTCTCTGGCATCTCCACCAGTGTGCAGGTGAAAAAAAAAAAACAGTGCTCTTGGCCTCAAGTCTAGAACTGTGCATTTGAAGGAACTCCTCTAGATTTCAAGGTTTTTGTTTAATGCTTACTTAAAAAAAACTTTGGGATACCCTATTTCTTGATATTCCCTAAAGTATATATCAGTAGTCCTTTAATTTAAAAAAAAAAAAAAAAAAAAAAAAACTACATTGATTAGGTTCAGTTATTTAGAAGCACCATAAAATTATGTAGGCTGGAAGGGACTTCCAGTGGTCTCTAATCTAACCTCTCCTGTTCAGGCCTGCATCTAGTTATGTTACTCATGCATTGCTGCTCATCCTTCCACTGCATCTCTGAGAAGAGTCTGGCTTTGTCTTCTCTTCGTCCTCCTGTTACATAGTTGTGGACAGTAATAAGATCTCCTCAAGCTGCCTTTTTTCTAGTCTGAGCTTACCCAGCTCTCTCAGCCTCTTCTCATATGCCACGTGTGCCAGCCCTCTGACGAGCCTGGTAGCCCTCCACTGGATTTGCTTCAGTATGTCTATGTCTGCTTGTACTGGGGAGCCCAAAGCCGAGCATAGCACTCCAGATGTGGTCTCGCATGTGCTGAACAGATTGCCCTCCCTCCATCTGCTTGCTACACTCTTGCTAATGCTGCCCAGGAAGCAGTTGGCCTTCTCTGCTGCAAGGGCACGTTGCTGGCTTAAGGTCACCAAGGCCTCCCAGATTTTCTTCTGCAAAGGTGCTTTCTAGTTATTGGCCCACAGCTTGTACTGGTACATGGGGTTTTCTCATCCCACATGGAGGTCTTCACTTTTGCTTTTGTTTAATTTCATGAAGTTCCAGTTGGACCGTTCCTCCAGCCTGTCCACGTCCCTCTGAATGGCAGTCCTGCACTCCAGCATACTGACTACTCATTTGCAAGCTTGCTGAGAGTGCAATCCATCCTGTCATCCAGCTTGTTAACAAAGAGTTAAATTGTACTGTTCCTAGTGTTGATCCCTGAGCTGTGCAGTTGTAGTGCTGATCATCACGCTTTAAACCTGATGGCCAAGTGTTTGCCATCCACCTTACTGTCTGCTTACCCAGTCCATATCTCGGCAATATGGCTGTAAGAGTTCTATGGCAGACTATGTCAAAGGCCTTACTAAATTCAAAAAACACAACATCTACTGCTATGCCCTTATCCACAGTCATGAACTCACCATAGCTTATTTACTGGTGATGCTGAAGCAACTATTTAACTTTACTTTTAGCTGCATTCTTCTGAAAGAAAAAAAAGCCTACGAGTTGTCATAATACTTTGAAAGGAATCTTCAGTCCTTAAGTCAAAATTAATGTCATTATGTGAACGTTTGCCTTCGATAACTGGTATACTTGACTTTTTAAATAACTCCTTATCTGTGTTTGTTGCCTTCATGCAATGTGAAAACATATGTATTTAAGATTCTTAGTTTCTTTTTCTCAAGCCACATTGTGTTGCAACCAAATTTCCTAACTTTTCTTATGAGTAATAAAAATGTTAGCCTGAAAATCATATTAAAAGTCTTAACTGAAATTCATTTATGGGTATTGGTATATCTAATTTTAATCTATTTATTTGGAATAAAGAAATGGAAGAAAACTCCCATGCGTTGCAAGTGTCACTACGTTACTGCAATAATTGGTAAGAATCTTGCTGGTTTGAAATTTTTAACCCACTCACATAACACCTCAGTCCACAAGACACTTCTCCTCCCCCACTGCAGCTTCCAAACCATCTGGCGAAGCACAGTCAGATCTGCTGTCCTGTGCCAACTCGACGAATGTGGCCTGGGCTCATCCTTATACGCACTGGGTGACCTAGTTCCTGAGAACTCACCTAGTTAGGACACCTAGTAATCCCTGCGTTGAAGCTGGGACCTGAAGGTACCCTGAGACAAGGTCACAAGCAAGTCTCTTGGGGCAGAGAGGACACTGTGGCCGGGATACAGCCCAGTTACGCTCAGTGTGCTTTTTAGTCTCAGACTTGCTGGTGATTCCAAGGCTCTTTCTGAGCACTCTGAACAGGCTCATTTTGAGAACTATTCAGCAGGCTAGTTAAGTTAATATTGAAACAGTTGCTTCAGAAATCGATTAAGAACAAAATTACTAACACCATTGCTGTTAAATTTTTTACTGCTTCTGACAGTATACTGAATTAGCTACAAAAGCTAACCTAGGTCCAAGTCATCACTTAAATTACTGGTTTGGCATGGTATGTATTTTCAATATATATCTTTAAAAGGTAATATTCAATAAATCCTGAGGGCAAAATAAGCAGCTAAATTTAAATGCAGCTACTGTGCGATATTTTTCTAATGTTTCTGATTAAGTATCTCAGACCATCTTGCATTCAGTCTGCATCTCAAGTGATAATTCACTGATGAGAGTAATAGCATCAATTATAACTTGAGACTGTCAGAAATCACCTCCTGTCCTAATATATATCAGACAAATGAAATTAAAATTAATTTTTCTCCTTATGGTCAAGCTTCAAGCTCCCTGCTGTCCTAATCCAATACACTAGATCCTGCTGGATCGCTAATCCAGAAGCAGTCCAGGTTTTTGGGTGTTTTCCTCCTGGTTTTCTGCTGGGCTCGCAGATTGATTTGGCTAATAGAGAAGACTGACAAGTGCCAGAACTGACACAAGGCAAACAGCAGATGTATGCGGCTAAACATGAGGATCAGGACCTTGCTATTTCAACATCAGTAAACTATTAGATTGGCACATTCCAATGTAAGAAACTACAGCCTTAGGACTAAAATTCACAGAATTTCAGTGCCAACTTTTTGGATGGCAATGCTGATTTATGCCACCTTAAAGTAATGGTAAAATCATAACCCCTGTTCTAGACTTAAGCAGCGGTACCCATGTCACCCAGCAATCTCAAGGGCTATAGCATATGACCTGCTGCTCACCTAACAGAAGTGAATGAGAAACTAAATCCTTTGTTTTTTCATAGCATGCCAGTGATGAGAAATCGCAGCCCATCTCCTTCCCAAGAATGTGAACAGACAGATAGCCACTGCAGTGAGTGCTAGGTCTCGTGAAACGGTAAACTGATTTAAGAGCACACTAACGTCTCCCAGGTTCACCCTGTCACTTGTGTCACCTCTGAGCGCTCGGTGAGCCATTGCAGCTCATTAACTAGCCAGAAACTACAGGTGTTTCCCCCCAAGGTAGTTTTCTATGAGGTGCCTGAGCGGTGCTGCCTCACGGAGGAGCTGCGTGGATGCCGGAGCTGGCACGGATGCGGCCAGGGAAGCAGGCAGGCAGAGCCTAGCGGGGGGATTGCCACTCTTGCAGTATTAAGCCGTTAGATAAACGCAGCCCGCCTCACAAAGCCTCGCCTTGAGAAAGCCACCAACCAACCTGAAATCCCTTGTTTGAAAGATGCAACATGAAACACTTTTGTCTGCATCCAGAACAACTTAATATACCGAACGTTAGTTGATAGCTATGAGTCAACGCGTATGTATCTGGATCCGTGGCAATTAAGACTGGCTATTCTAAACTCTTCTCTCTTGCCTCAGGTTAGGTACTTGCAAACTAGTTTATGCCCAGCACAGATTACAATCCTCACGGGTGCTAAAATACAGGCTAGATACTCTTTTAAGACAAGGCCCCATTGTGCTGTGCCTGCCTTCGCATGTGGGTCAAAGCATATATTTAAAACCGTGCTACTTTCCATCCAGAAACAGCTTCTTTTTTTTTTTTTTTTTTTAAATCAGCACATGTTTGTCCCCCTCAGGTCACCAAAGCTTCACAGGCCCGAAGTTCACCCTCCGGGGCCAAAACGGTACCGCCCTTGCCCCAAAATTCATGGCGCGGAGCCAGGCCACGGGCCCCCTTCGGGAGTGTTATCAGCAGGCAGGGAGGGAAGGAGGGAGGGAAGGAAGGAAGGAGGGAGGGAGGGAGGGAAGAGGCCCGGCGCCGGG